GGCAGCGACGGCCCCTAAACCATCCCTGCCTCGCCAGCCACTACCCACTCCAGCGTAGCCCAGGCTTGTCCTCATTTCAGGCTGGGCGAGCAGCGGCCCGGCCCTAGAGGTAGCGAGATGATGTCAAACCTCCTAATGGAGCTTGACAGCAGTGGGATTAAAAGCACAAGTGAGATCACAACCCCTCTGCAATCAGCTTCTGCCTTGGAAGAGCTGAACCAGAAAAGAAACCTCCTGGCAGCAGGGAGGGGACGAGGAGCTCGCACACACAGAGAGTGAGGGCAGCATGGGCTGGGGGGAACCTCACCCGTCCCAAGCCCTCCTTGCTTGCCCTGCCAACCCATCGTCAATAGGAAGGAGCCAATCTCCCCCCTCCAGCAGCACCAGTGAAGCATTTCACCAACAACAGCCCCAATTCGAACTGCTTCCTGTGGATTGGTACTTCTACTGCCCTGAACTTCGGATGCAGAGCAGCCCACGCCATGTACTGCTTGCCCCTTCCTCTCGCCGCCTGCAAGCTCAAGGCATCACATGGCACCCACAAGGACCCCCTTCTCCCTCTGCTTCAGGCACTGCGCTTGGAGCGGTGCCACGGTTGCTGGAAAAAGCACCCAAGCAGCCGGGTCTGAGCTGGAGGTGGGAGGACTCCCTCGGATGCAAGAGGGTGCTCAGCAGGACACCTGCAGCCCCTACTTCTGCAGGACGAGGTGCGCACAGACCCCCCATAGCTGGCACCAAGCCCCATCTGCCCCAGAGCACAGCCCTGGTTTAACTAAAAGGCAGCACTGACCACATTTCCCACCCGAAGGCTGCTCCAGCAGCACTGCTGCCCCAGGCCTCCATCATCATCCTTCCTGCAAGCAGGAATATCTCAGCATCTCCCCCAAACCCAACTGAGATGGGCTTTTGCAGGGATGAAGTGGCGGCTAGCTTGCACAGACCACCCCGGGGCTGGCCGCTAAGTCACACTCCAAAAAGCCGGCAAGCCACAACCATCACCCCCTTCTCTGCTCATCCAAAACCCAGCGGCCAGAGGCTGCTCTCCCGCCTGGCAGTCGTTTGCTCCCAGCAAAATGCAGGCGAAAGCGGGGCTTTTTACTACAAGAAAAAGGGAGCCACTCCAGGGACCAGTGCATGCGCTCAGGAGCGGTGGGAAGAGCTGATGGGTTTTGGCATAGTACTCAGGCTGAAAAGCTAGCTCCAGCTCCAGACCTTGTTTTGCAGTGACCTGTACCAAGAATTGGCTTTTTCCTTTTTCTTGCCAAATGGAAAGAAAAAGAAAACCTTCCAGGTCAGAGGAAAGAAAAGCATTTACTCATGGGTCAAGTGAAACAATCTGAGGCAGGGTTGAGTGCACTTTTATCCTCCCCAAACCAGGAAAAGATTCCATTTCCATCTGAAAAAAACATCTAAAAATAAAAAGACAAAGGTTTTGGGGGTCAGAAGCACTCGGTTTTGGTTTTTAAGCCCAAATGACTTGCTGAATTGAACCCCACTTTGCAAAGCACAGGTCAACCCAAAAGCACAGAGGGGTGGGGAGGAGGGATGGGCTGAAGCATTGATCTGGAAAATTTCAACCACGCTGAGATAGCACCAGCCACAGTGGCAGCAGACACCGCAGGGGCCAGCCCGGGACCCCCCGTGTCCCTGGCATGCAGCTGGGGTACCCCAAACTCAGCTCCTGCCAAGCCAGGGTGCCAGGAGGGAGGCATTTGTCTGCACTTTGTTCTTGCAAAGCAAGCTGTCACTTTCCAGCCTCCTCCCCAACCAGCCAAATGCTTCCTGACAACCCATTTAAAACTCAAAGCACCCGATTACCGCCACAGCCGGGCAGCTGCTTACAGACACCATGAAAAACTCCTCTGTAAACTGCACCCCAGAAATAAAATCCCTGCCCAGAGCATCACTCCTTGCCCTTTCTAGACCTACCCACACCTGGGGGGGCACCAGGGTCCTTCTCGAGCTGGTCCAGGTCTGGCTCTGCTCTCACATGCATGGCCTTGGTTGAGGGGTCCCCACATTTCCATCACCAAAATGCCAGCACCTGCTTCCCACCATCACCCCAGCAAGGAGGAGAGCCGCCCGCCCCGGCTCCATCCACCTGGCAGGGCTGACCCCAGACCCCACACATCACCCGAGTCCATTAGCGAGTCCCCGGAGCACACACCTCGCTGGCGTTTTGCTTACCCCCAGCTTTTAGGCAGAGCTGCAGAGCCGCGCCGCCTTTCAATTTTCAGTTTGCTCTAAACATTGTGGTGCTCTCCCCCGGGGACTCCCAGTCGACAACCTCTGCCAGCAGCACGGCTGCCCCATAGCTATGGGGAGGGTGGAAACTAGGGGCAAAGGAGAGGAAAGCAGCTCCACCCCAAGCTGCTCTTCTGTTGGAGGAACGGGAGGCCCCCTTTGCACGCACGCCCCAGAACGAGGGGCACCCACCCTGACCGCTCCAGTGAAAGGGCCCTTGGCACCCCATAGAGATGCTCCTCAAGGAGGATGGGGGCACCCCCAGCCCCTCCAGGGACCTGACACCTGAAGAGACAGGGTTGTCACAGGGTAGAACATCTTCCTCCTTTTCATCAGACACCTCCGTGGGGTTGGGTCCCTCCACACTTCACCGATGCTTGGCACAGCCACCGCTCCTCCCCCACCACCTGGCACCGCCGCGGCACTGCCCTGGAGCAGGGACACGAATGCGGCATCACTTTCCAGTCCCCGAGGCGTCTTTCTCTTTTTCCACTGCCTTAAGCAACAAATGTACGAACAGGGACCTGCTGGGCATGAGAAATGCGACCTGAGATGCTCTGGCAAGGGAGGTGCCACTGCCCAGCTGGGAAGATCAGCCCAGGTCACCCTGGAGCAGGGGAGCGGCTCCGGGTGGGTTTTCTGTTGCTGGGGGGGTCCAGGCTCAGGATTAAGGCTCTGTTCACACGCCTTTTAGTTTTCCACACCCTTTCAATCAAGATAATCGCACACTTGCAGACAACATGTGAACGGCAAAAACTCATGAACAAAAAATATCCTGACCAGCTAAGCATCAGAAGAGGTACATGGGATCGCAGCAAAGCCCTGTACCCCGCCTCCAAGTTACCCAGGGAGAGTGTGCAGAAAGGGTGATGCACAGCAGTAGTAGCCCAGAATATGCTCCCTCCAAAAAACTGGCAGATTAGGGAGCTCCCAAGTCACAGGGGATGCCTTGATACTGCTCAACACTTGCTGGCTCCCTCCCACGAATTTGCCTGCTCCCTTTCTGCACACAAGTTAAGCCCCCCGTGTCCACACCCCACACCTTCCAGACCGCCACCAGCATCCCCCCATCCCCAGTTTCCCAGGACAGCCCACGGCGAGCAGCGGTGGGACCCATCCCCAAAAGCCCCCGGTTACACCTCCAGGCAGCCACGGGACCCACCGCACCCCAGGTAGGGAGCGGGGACAGAGGCAGCCCCAGCGGGGTGTGGGGATGCTGCCCACCCAGCAGGGTCTTCTTCAGCTCCTCACCTCCCTCGCCCTCCCAGACCCCCAGAGAAGAGTTTTAGGCTGTAGGGAGCCAAGCACCCGAGAGCTGGCCTCGGCTGCCACCTAGCAGCGACCCAGCAGCAGGGACAGGGTGACAGCTCCTCCAGCCCGGGGACAGGCAGGGGAGGACATGGGGGTCTCCTCAGAACACCCCAACCTCAGTCCTCACCTCCATGAAACCAAAGGGGACCTCTGCAGCAGGGAGGGTGGCGTTGGAGACAAGCACTCTGTCACGCAGCTGGCTCCGAGCGAGCTCAGCTCCATTTCAGCCGCTGCCTACACCAGATGACAAACACATGCGATCCAACCCCCCGGCCTGAACACGGGACCAGAGAAGTCAGGCAACCTCTGAAGCTCCCCGCAGGTTTGTACAGCATCTGCTCAAGCCACAGCTCCTCACCTCCCTGCTTCCATCTCCTTCATTAGCTTTCCACATGGTTGTTTCCTAACGGGCCCCGGATTTTCTTTCTCTCTCTACCATTTTTTAGCCCTTTCACATCCAAAACCACCCCTAAATGCTTAAATTAAAACAGTCGTAGAATGGTTTGGGTTGGAAGAGACCTTTAAAGACCACCTAGTCCAACCAATAAACCTCTTATGCCGGGCTTTTATCCATTCCAATATTAATGTTAAACCATATCTTGAGCTCTTCCTGGGGGTTTGCAGTGAAGCATACCTCTGGCATGTTTGCAGGTGGGCACAGAGCGACCCTTGAAGCCCCTGAAAACCTGAGGAACAGTCTGGGCACCACCAAACCAAGCAAATGCCAGCATTCATAACCAGGGCACTTTATTTTCACAGCTTTTCTCTGCATTAACAAACGCAAGCCCAAGAGGATTTCTTGGCACAGGCAGGGAGCTACATAAACATGGCCAATGTCAAGCTTCAAGCTTTCTCTCACTGGATTCTTTATAGATCTTATTTGATATCTGTAACATGGGATTCCTGACACTTTGTATGTGTGGCATCCTAATTCATCAACAAATCGGAGCATCTTTTTCTTGGGGAAGCAGGTTTCTTTTGCAAGTTACCAGCACTTAATACAGTCTCAGGCCTGAGCTGGGATACAACCTCTCCTAGCAGCAAGGAGTGTGTAGAGCATCCATGGTGTTAAAAACCAAAACCACCTCCCTACAGAATGTCAAAACTGCTCATGCACTGAGGGAGGGAGGGATAGGTAGCCAGTTTCTCTCTCCTCAACTTAAAGGATATGTAACACAATGTGACACTTAGATGTTCTCCCGAACCATTACATTAAAGAGCAATAAATCAGTACAACACAAGTAAAACAAAACCAAACTATTTTCCTGAAAGTAAAAGTAACATTTATCACACGTACTGGGCATATCTGAGAAGATGTCAGACTCCCAAGATTTTCAAGGGATTAAACATTTCTGAACAAAGAAAATGACAGCACGGTCATACAAGAGGGCATTTGCTGCTCTAGGCAGCCTTCCTTGGCAGCTGCTCCAGCTTCTCCCCTCTTCTTACACCTTCTTTCTCAGTCCGGGGAGCCACTGGAAGTAGTCACTGGAAGTGGCTAAGCGTGCAGCTGCCAACACTGCAGATAGCGTGGTAGGAGGGACATACAGTTTCTGAGATGGCCCTTGGTCAGACAGCCCACTGGCACTGCACAGCCCAACTGCAAGACTCCCAGGAAGGTCTTTGTTCTTCATTTTCTCTTCATCTGCATAAGGAGGGACACAGAAAAGAAAGAGTTGCCAATGTAGATACCATTTAAGAGCTCCAGTTTAGACTGAAATCCCTTTTGCCTGGACCTTACCAGGTCACGGCAGGAGGACTTTCTACTGCACACCTATTCGGTGAGCCTGACATGGTATAATCCGAGAGCCTCTCTCCCTCTCCTCCCAGTGCTCACCCCATTGCTCCAGAGGTGGGAAATCAGATGCAAATTGAGTAGCTCCTGTCTGGAGAGCTGGGCCTCTGCTCCAGACAGAGGGCAGTCAGCTCTGTTCCAAGGCACAAACAGGCACTGTCTTTAGCAAGTCAATCTACCTCGATGTTGTAAATTCTTTCAGCATTTGAAAGATGGAAGACAGACACCCACACAGGGACCTTACAAGGTTAAAAAAAAATGCATTTGTCCCTTATGGTTGGGAGATTGACAGACTCTCAGTATGAAATGAACACAAGCTAACATATGGAGTGGAGAAACAAAGACTTCTGCATGAAAGCAGCAGAAAGTCTAGAAAAGACAACAAAAATCAACAGAGAGAGAAATAACCCTCAATTCATTTGTTCCCATTAAACATTTAGAAAACCATTTTGCTGCACAAAAGTCAAACCGATGCATTGCATCCAGCCATATATTATTGTCACATCTCCATCCCACAGAAATTGCAACATTTTCATCTGTTCTAGCAAAGAAGTAGCACCAGTCCTAGGACACCCAATAATGACTGCAAGACTCATAGCACAGTAACAGTCTGCTCAGCTTTCCACCGTGTTAAATTTTACTGACAAATCTATTCGTACTGTTATGGTTGTCCAGCATAAACGGTATTGCCATAAGTAGAATAGAGGGATGTACAGCTTCACGAAGTTGGGCCGTGTTGGAAAATCTTTCTATCTGACCAGGGTCATCTTGGCTCATTTCTGCTGGTTGCTTGGAGTAGATAAAGGAGGTGTAAAAGTCTTCCATTGACTTGAATAAGACAGCAGGCATTGAGGACTCTCCAAGAGAATGAGGTCCCTGCAAATGTATATAAAAAACTCAGGAGAGGGTGCGATTAATGCACACTCAGTTCACTAGCTGCCCTGATCTTTATTATCCCTCAAGGTCCACAAAGAACTAGAATGTCAGCAACTGGATGATTTTAAAAATAAAAAACCCAAACCAACCAACCAAAAAAACCCCACCAAACTAGTTACTCACAACCTTGGTCAAAGGGCAGCTTTTCCTGCACAGCAAGCTGAAAAGAGCGACAGATTATTACAAGATACAAATCACCATGTCTTAGCAAAGAATTAACAGCTGGCTCATCTCTCAGCAGCCCCACACAGAACAAATGATAGCAACGATAGAGGGAGTTTCTGCAAGGGAGTGGGAATTGACTCAGAGGAAGCCCCCCTGCATTTTTGCGTAAGAATACAAATTAAACTTAAGTTCCAGGAATGATCACCCATGTTTCAGCCATAGACAGGGACTAGAGCCAATGCTTGTATTTGTTAATTCAGCATGGAAGGGAAAAATAGCGAAACAAAAGACAAGCAGCAATTCACCTTGCCCACCCATAGCCGTTCAAAAATTAGGTGCTTGCTCTATACAACTCTTCTGTTGTCAAGGCAGCAGAAGAAAGGCATCTATCCTCAGAAGGGGTGGATCACCATCCAGAGGTGCTTCACCCATAGGTGAGAGTGTGTTCAAAGGATTATCCCAGAACAAAACAATTGTATTTACACAAGTAGATTTAAGCAATTTAAATTGGCTCCCACAACGGGACCATGAGGCACTCCTGAAGCGGCAAGGAGAGCTACACGCCTGGGCAGCAGAAATTCAGTGCTGACAGGATGCTACAACAGAATAATTTGAATGACAGGCATCACTGGAGTCCAATTAACCAACTACTCAGCTTGATACCACCAGCCCACTGAAAACCTCTGCCTAACATGCAGTAAAAAAATAGAGCATTACAACAAGAAAAAGAACAGTGTTAAAAGATGATTATTATCCCCTCTTGCCACCCACACTACCCTTGTTGGGGGGGCAGGCAGTGTCACTGCCACGCCAGGGCAAAGCAGAAAGAGACAGGGTGCAAGGGTGGACACTGGAAATGTCTGTTGGCACTGGAAAAAGCTGGGATGGAAATAATTCAAACAGAGGCTGTTCAGTTTACAGAAGAGGCAAACAAGACAGGATATCCTAGAGAGCACTGTGAGGGGCAGGAAGTAAGGCAGTATCTACTCTTCCTTCCGATTCACACAATTAAGAACACCAACACTGAAAAGGAAAACATGAGCAGTGAAAACCGGAAAGGAGGGAATACCACTTGGTGATGCTGTAAGTGCCACAAAACACTGAGGCCAAAGGAGATGAGCAGGAATCAGAGAAAGAAAATCCTCCTGTCTGTCCTCTTAACTAGCTGACTGATGCCTTTCCCCTCCCCAACGTCTATAGGCAGGATTATATTTTCATCCCACAGTCTTCCTTAATAGAAATTCTTGCCACCTCTTCTAAAGACTGTAACAGAGATCACAGCCAGGGACAGAAAATATGCTCAGGACTTCTCTGATCCAGTTAGGAAATTCCTATGCTTTGAAACTCACGTAGTTTAATACTTGCAGGGGAGCATTTAACTCAGCTCACAAGGACCCTATTGCTATCTACCCACTTGCCTCCACCTCATCTCATCATACTTTCTCCCCACGCTTGCTACCAGAAACTTTCCTCTTTTCTCATTCCCTCAAGATCCTTTTTCCCAGCTTGCTTTCTCTCCATCCCTTTCAGGTAACATCCTCCAGAGCCAACAATTCTTCCAGCTTTCCCTCTCATCCTTCTAGAAAGTCCTTTGTCTCAGCCACTATCAACCTCCAGATGTGTAAGGAGCTGTGGTTGTCCAAAACCTTGTAGGTACACTCCCATTTCCAGCTCTGTGTTTTGTGGCTCAACAAATCCTGTGTGATACTGGCTCCCAAGAGCGTTTGCAAAATGCCATGCTGCAGGCCCTGTTAGACTCATCATTAATCACTATTTAAGAAGCAAACTCACAACACCAGCACCACCTAATGCCTCAAATCACAGCCCAAAATGCAACCCTCCCAAAACCACTCTCCTAACTTGGGAAGAGAGGCCTGCGTGATCTAGACTAGCCCCACAATAACTCCCAGTTACTCCTGGTAACCCTCAGGACTGTGAATGGAGGGGAAGCAGAGGAGTGAAGGAGGGCCAGGTTTGATCTATAACGTGCTGAAGGTCAGTCTTGTTTCCACAATACCTTGACATGCCAGTGAAGCACGAGTGTATCATCAACAACAGAAACAACAGCAAAGAGGAAAGCACAGGCTCAGAGCTATACATTAGTAGCCAGTCATTATTTTGTCAGTCACTTTTAAGAAAATACATGTCAAAGCAATCAAAGGGTTATTCAAGTAATCTAAACCCAAGAACAACCCTTCCCAACAGCCACAGCTGGGAAAAACGCCCTTACCTTAACCACTGCCATAAGCTCTGTAACAGTTTCATTTGTATCCTCCTGAGCAAGTTCAGGGTCTTGGTCTGTTGTTCTTGGAACGCTCACTTCATCCAGAAGTGGCTGCACATGATCCTGTGTCCCCTTCTTAGCAGACAGGTGCTGTTGCTAAGGAGGTGGACAAAGCAAGAAAAGGTACAGCTAGTGTGGGTAGAAGAAAGCAGGATGCACTGGAGCAGATTACAGAGCAATCAGATGATACCACTCGGAGGTTAACAGAGAGAAATGCAAACGAGCTTTTCTGTTCTGCTCAGGTTTTAACATTTCTATCTGGAGAAGTTCGGGCTACTTGGAAAGGACAGAAAGAACACGGAAGAACAGGAAATAATGTGAACAAGAAACTAACTGTCACTTTAACTTCTCTCCACAATAAAACTTATCACTTGGAAAGTACAGTTTTATTCAAGAAATGTTTTCTGGTTGTTGCTTGCTGCCTTCTGAGAATTTTTACCATGGGAAGTGTCCTAACATAGCAGAGCTGATTCAACACAACACAGTGTCCAGTCATTTTGCACTTAAGGGCAGGGTGCATGTGTGTTGTTAATCCTGACAAGGCAAATCTAAGACTGGACAATGCAAAGGGAGTTCCCCACTGCTTAAGAGGAGTTACCAGAAAATGCTAGCTGAGCAGTAACAAGTGTCATATTAGACACATTTCATTCCAGTTCAAAACATTTTGAGTAATTTTATAATTGATGATCACGTTAGTGACGCGCCAAGGAAGAGAAGGAATCATTTCGGGCAACTAAATAGAATAGCAGAAAAGAAAATGTTTAAAGTCTTACACAAAGAGAGATCTAGAGCACTGCAATTTCTGGAAAAGGATTCTAAGACCCTTGAAATCAGACAGGAGAAAACCTGAATGCATTTACATTCCTCTAGTCTCCAAATTGCCAGCTATGTCTGACATTTACACACATGGATCTTGCTACAGTTAACCAGATTTTTCCATAAAAATCACAATAAACTCAGATTTGCAGAGTCTCAGTCACGTTAATTTCTTCCAAATACATAAAGATGCTGGTTTGGGACCTTCAGTTCAGAAGATGTATCAACAGTGCAAGGCCATTAATATCCAAGGTATACAGCTTATATAGAGCTTCTCTAGCACAGAAACACAGCTGGCTAAAATAAAACCTAGGTACAATGACTGCTTTACAAGTTACTAGCATTACACTAGCTTTTACTCTTATTTCAGAAAAATGTCAAAAAACCAGCCCGGGAGCAGCCCACTGCTGAACACTTCAACAGCTGACATTTACTTGAAAGGTGCTTTGGCCCCTGTAACAAAATGGGTCATGAAAATACTGCATTTAAATAACACAGAAGAGTAGACAGAGTCACCTGTAGACAAGTGTTCCTGGTGTTTCTAATGGTACTACATTAGATTGCACTCAAGACCTGCATTTTACTCCCTGCTTAACCCCTCTGTTCATCAGTTTCTCCATCTGTTAAACAGCAAAGGGCTCCTCTTTTTAACATGCTCTGAAATCAAAGGTGTAAAGCAGTATCTGGATCTTAATACCATTCACCTGTAGAGTTATCTTTTTAATAAAACTGTAGTTGTGTACAACCTTACCCCCTCCAGCAGTCAGGACTGCAAATTGCTTCCTTTCAGATAACTTCAGAATGAGCAAGACCCTTAATGCAAATAATACACCACTAGTTCTGGTCTTTTCCCACATTTAAATGATATCCCAAGTTATTACATATCCTTTGCCAAACCCCAGAGATGTGAGAGGAAAACATAGCACTTCTTGGCTCCTGGGGGTGCAAAACATTAAAGTGCTAAGTCAAACTGATCTCAAGAATCTGGTACTGGTCTGAGTTCTCAAGAGTTCATTCTCTCTCTAACTGAAAAATTATGGTGCATATGGGAGGTTAGAGAAACCACTGAGCACACAGACTCCCTGAAGCCTGCAAAGCGATCAGAGGACAAGCAGCTAGAGATGTATTTATGGTCCACGTGTAATTGTTTTTATATTATGGTTCTGCTTGCTTTTTATAAAAGCAAAAAACCCAACTCCACAAAAAAAATGCATGGGACTAAACCAATACATGTCTACTGATCCCTGGAGCTGATTTCACTGAATGATAGCTATACCACAGTCAAACTCCCACCTGGTCACACAGTTCATCCCCATCCAGCTTTGCGTTTGCTGTTTCACTATCTGCATCTAGAGATTCCTGCT